GAGCCTTCTTTCGTGTTTAGAGTATGTGGTCCACGACTCGCATCCATACAGAAGTGTGCTCAGTACGCAGGCCTGGTACACCTGCAGCTTAGTTCTTGTTGTGAGTTTGGCGTTTGACCAGACTCTTTTCTTCAGTCTGGCCATAACAGTTCTTCTTCTTCTTCTATATCTTAAGGGCCCACGATCAATTTATTGATCATTTTGGCTCCTATGCATGTAGATGGGATTTGCAATGTTTCTGTTACTGTTGCGGCCTTCCATATCCTCCCACTTATCTCATCCTCCATTGAGAGGGTGCTCGATATGTTGGATCCCAGATATGTGAATCTGTCAACAGTATCCAAGTCGTAGTCGTCGATGGCGATAGTGGGGAGGGAGTCAGCGCCCTGTGCCATAATGTTAGTTTTCTTTAGGCTAATTGTCAGGCCAAACTTTTTGCAGGCAGAGGATAGGCTGGATACGAGGCTCTGCAGGCCGTCAGCTGTGTGAGATACCAAAGCGGCATCGTCCGCAAACAAGAACTGTCGCAGCAAGACCTTTCTTGTTTAAGTCTTAGCTCGAAGGCGGGAAATGTTGAATAATTTGCCATCATCTCTAGTGTGGATGTATATCCCCTCACTGTTGTTCTGTTGTATCTTCATTGGAGAGGACACCCCAGCATCGCCGAATGGTGTGAACACAACACGGGAGGCAGCAGTTACCGGTTTTAAGACATAGCTCAATTGGCGTGGAGATCGCAATGTCTCACTGGGTGCGTGGAGCTCTGAGGCCACAAAAACATGCACCTAGAAATAAGAAAACAAAAGAAAAGAAGACCCCAGCTCTTCGAATAGCAAGCTGGAACGCGAGGACAATGTGCCCGGGCATTACTGCTGACCTGCAGCTCATAAACGATGCTAGGAAGACAGCTATCATTGATAGAGAGCTTAGCAGGCTAAACATTGATATTGCCTGTCTCCAGGAAACTAGGCTCCCCGAATTTGGTACCATAAGAGAACACAACTACACTTTCTTCTGGCAGGGTAGACCAATGGACGCACCAAGACAACATGGGATTGGTTTTGCTATAAAAAACACACTCTGCTCCTCCATAGAACCACCGACACAGGGCACAAATAGAATACTAACTATCCGACTATCAACATCTCCAGGTTTAGTCAACATCCTCAGTGCTTATGCCCCAACCCTTTCCTCCAGCTCAGAAGCCAAAGACCAGTTCTACGAAGATCTTAATCAAACAATAGCCAGCATACCCAACAACGAAGCAATTTACCTTTTGGGTGACTTCAATGCAAGAGTAGGAAGCGATCACATGGCCTGGCCAACATGCCTCGGTCATTTTGGAAGAGGCAGGCTAAATG